AGTTTCGCAAAACACACGCGCATTTTACACTCAGTTAGCCAACAATCAAACGTTCATCGTCCGGCAAAAGAACAAGTGTTGTGTGACTCACGATAATTATTTCCACGCATCGGATACTGCCCATTGCCGCTGTACAGGCGCATCATTTTTTGTTACAGTTCTTCTTTGACAATGAGATTGGATCATAAAACAAACGAAAAACAAAAAAATTACGTGAATTCATGTATTTATGAACTAGAGAAAAAAAAAGTAGGTGTTCGCGTCAGAGGGATGGATTGGGTTCTTGATGGGAATTGAGAATCGCATGGCGAGAAATTACCGAGATTACACGACGTAACCGTTGAAGCGAGCGAAGTTTCGTTGATTACAGGTGACGCGCCGGAGTGGGATGAGCAGCGAAAGAAAAAAAAAACAAAAGCTGCGTAAATCGTACACGACGACAGTCCCGAGCATATTTGAAAAATAAATCTCCGATACGCGTAATCGTAGGAGATATTTTTTTTTTTTTTTATAGTATAAATTATTAACGCCCTTATTTCATCCGAGACGAATGTTAAATGGCCTCAGCGCAGTATATATGCGCTCTTCGTCAGAGAGCCTCTGTCTCCTTTTGCAGCCAGTGCTCAATGAAGGATCGTTAAATAATAAAGCTTCTGTGGATGCATGCACACGCGTCTCCCTCCTCCTCGCGATTGGTATATCTTTCTCTCTTCGACACCGCAACGCGTATGTGCAATCTCTTCAAAGCAGTGGGTTTTTTTTCCAACTCGATGTTTTGAGGTCACTTGTCTCGGGAAAAAAAATGGCCATTCTTTCGATTCGAACAGGGGGACAATAGTATGTAGCCATTGCGAGGTAGACGCGGAAGCAATTCTGTCAGCGTGTCCCAATGGGCGTGGGGACCGAAGCGTTTTGTGGGAGGAAACGCGAGAAGGCACTAAAACGCTTGATAACCGTATAACAGAACTGTACGATCATTCGCTTGGTCGAGGGAAATCTCGGAACGACGATTCTAACTATAAGCACAATCTATATGGTGCAGATAGAATATCGTCGTTGCGTCGTGTACTTTATTGTGTTCGCAGGCGACTCATGGACGCAATTGAAAATTTTTACATCATGTGACTCTTAATGTTACCAAAGTATACTTTTACCCGTGTTATATCCGCGTGGGTGATTTAATCTATGCACGTTATCAATTCAAATAAAAGTTGGTGGAAAAAAAAAAAAAAAAAAAAAAAGTATGAAGATATAAACAATGGTTATAATGATTTCGAACAAAAAACAATTGCCCATCAACAGAATTTCTTTTATTACTATGCTCTGTTTCATATAGTATAAAAACTCTCACTGTATGTAATTTTGACACGTGACTGTGACGTGAGATTTGCCACACACGTATATAAATATGCATACGCAGTGGCTAGGCCTGGCCGTTGCCGCGAAAATCCGGTTCTAATTCACGATCTGCTCGCAAACAGCGTCTGAATACCTAATATTTTATACTCACTTACTTACATCAATGTGGTGCGCAATGCTGTGCGGCCAGTTTTCTACATACATACAGATAATATTATAATATAGCTGACCGGTAGTATCATCTACAATAATGTTATGTTGTACCACCTTATTGATGCACGAGGCGATCATATATAGAGTTGTAAATAAGCTTTTATTATGGAATTCAGGGTGACAAAAACAAAGGGCATTCTCTTTCTCCCCAAAGTTAAGTATCGCATGTTACAAATCTAGCTTACCCCGTGAATAATCATGCGGTGAAAGTCACTCACACAAGTGTATATAGGCATATAATATGTAAATTACACAATGGATTGGCGGTATATGTTTGTGAACGGTGGGGAAGGGGGTAGCCCATTCTTTCTATCTCACCCCCCGATCATATAATCATCACGATCACCTGCGCTACACGTGTATATATACTTACGCTGTACTTGTGCGCGAGTAGAGGTACTATACCTATGTACTAAATAGGCACAGGTATACTATTTGGGCCAGAGGAAAGAAAGGAGCTAGGGAGGGTCGCGTGAGTCACCACACTCCACTCGACCGGGGCGGGCATGGAAAATCGTTAGAGAGGGAATGGGGTCGTCGTCGGGGGCACTGATGTACCACCCGACCTCGCCACCCCTCTCTTTTCGGGGTTTTTTTTTTCGTTCCAATGAAATGGATTATCTTTTTTTTTTCCCGCTTTGACCGAGCACCAGATGATAATCGTGAGCCAGAACCAGTAGATGTATCTCATATATGTATATACAGATTTCAGGGATTTCTATACATTGCCTGTTTGATGTATTGCGTGCATTAGATAATGTACAATATCAAGAGATACACAGCCATGCAAGACTCATCATCGTATAACGATGATAACCTGTCGTTTTATGTATATCGGTATATACACACCGAAATCGGCAGGTTGTAACCCTGTATGCATTCAAATGAAATTCAATAGGTGCTCTCGTGTGCAGCCTGGGGTCAACGACTTTGCTTCCCCGCGGATATAATATACGTACCCGCTTCTTTTATCTGTAATAGTACCTATATGGGAACTCTATCGTAAAATTTCGATTGCTATTGCCATGGTGTTTCATGGTGCCAATCGCGTGTGCAGTGTGAATAAAATCCGATAATCTAAAGGTACACGTTTTATATACCTATATACGTATATTATCTGATGCATAGTGTCTACGTCATTGGTTTAAAAAGCGACATTCGAATCGAACATTTTGGGAAGGGAAAAAATGTGCAATGATAATGCGAGTAAGTATAGAGCCATCGCTGCAGTGAGCTCTTGATGGGTCACTCTACCGACGAAAAGAAGAAAAAAATTCGGAGGTTCTCGGGCGCGCATTGTCATGCTAATCGAGCGAGGAAGGAGAAAAAAAGAACAAAAACCGACGCGGTGCAGACGAAATCGATAAAATTTTTTACTCGGGTTTGTCAAACCAAGCAGTTGTACCATTAAACTGCATAGCTGAGGATCAAGTGCAATCGATGAAAGCGTATATAGTAATTGTATCCGCGACGCAAATACAGAGAGGTAGATGGGGGATCATACTTGAGTTTCAAATAAAAAAAGGAAAAAGAAATTCAGTAACAAAGTATTGGTAAAATTCACGTATAAAATAAAGATTTTCTGTATGTACGCATATTTTGCACCAGAGCTATAAAAGTACAACAGGTTGATTATTATTATTATTATTTATTTGTATTTGACAAAACGGTAACATTGCAATGCTGGTTGACTTTCATCGCTCTGTTGAAGTATTACACTCACCGTCGCATGGCCGTTGTGTCGATAACGTTGCATATCATCAATTGCGAATAACAATAAACAATGCTTTAAACAGAGAGACGGCGAAAGCGAAGTCATTATAAAGTCGCATACCCTGCGAATGAGGAAAGGGGCCAATAAGTCCCGTTGTAGTCTATAACATACGCTGCTGTAACCTGTGCGCGCGTGTGTGCGAATTAATAACGGCGGAGAAAGTGATTTGTCTCTTTATATACTTAGTAGCGGAGGCAGGAAGTATAGGCCCCGCGTAGGTATATAGGTATATGTATTGTACTCGAGACGCTCTGCTGATGGCTCTATCGACTCGCATATACATAAGCTACCGCTGCAGTACAATAAGGGGGCAGAGAAAGAGCGCGGGTTATAAGTAATTTGTATGGATTTAGCTCTTACAACTCGGAGCGCGTCTATACAAAATCCAGAGAGAAATTGGTTAAAAAATGTGTACACCTGTAGTACATGTTTAGTAAAACCCCCAAAGTTTTTGAGAGGAGCAGCTTATAGTATTACTCAACGAAGTCAACGAATTTATCCATACCAAAATGGACATGGTTATTATATTATGGGCACCCCGACTCTCGCGAAAAAATTAAATCTCGTACAGGTAAATTTTACCGAATGACGATATAGTACTTACTCCGACACCGCTCTCGGTGCTTGTCATTTATTATTCACGCGCGCGCGTATAGATATGTCATACGGCTGAATAATTGATGTATCAAGAGTGATATTATATAGGTATGTATAGTACACCGGCATGACAGGGGTCAAGAATCTCTTTACCTACACACCGGGCACGCTTCCATGCTCGTGTGTAATATGTATATAATATGTATGATCGTCGGGTGATCAACGAGTGCAGCCCCCCGTAAATCATTGTAAAATTTCCATCCAAGTGTATATGATATGTATATACACGTTACTCGTTTAGTTTTTATGTCCACTTGCATGCGCATGCCATCGTGATCGCTCGCCTAAAGGTCAAGGCTAAAATACGTACAATATGTTACAGGGTGTCTCGCGACCTCTTTCTCCGACATGTCGCTTCATTTCATTAGCTTACATACTTAGTATTGCACATGCGTGCACATCCCAATCACCTATATTTTCTTTTTTTTTTTTTTTTATGGCTTGGACGCCTAAGCACCTATAACATTGCAAGTTGATTTTTTTTTTTTTTTTTTCATGCGTAACTGCAGTAGCTCATCGAATATAGACGACAGTTTGTGATAACGCGGAGAAAATTTCATCATTTTTATGCTGCTGTGGGAGGTACAGAAACACGCATCCCAAGTTCACTCGCGAGTAATTTTATAGGCAGTTTTGCTGCTGCGCCTGAAGAGCTGGGGGGAGGGACAGGCCAAACTGGACCGAAGAAACTCGCCAAGCTTCCTTAGAAGGACACATATTATACTGTAGCGTCTGTCGTCGTGGACCATGACCATAAATGACGTGCATTGTACAAGTTTCGATGAAAATCCCCGCGTGTTACTCTTTACTCATTGACGCGCACCTCGACTTGTTCTTTTTTTTTTTTTTTTTTTTTTTTGGGACCCTAAATGGATAGGCGCTCCAAAATCCACCACCTGTTTTAAACATTATATGTATTATATTTTATCGATGCTAAGCGTTTATTTTTAGAATGTTAATAACGATAACAGAGCTGATGTTGTTCGATGTCTTGCAGATCTCGTCCACTGCACAAACGAGCCGAACGTGTCGATTCCGCAGTTGGCGAATCTGTTGGTCGAAAGGTCGCAAAACACAAATTGGACGGTGGTTTTCAAGGCGCTCATCACAGTACATCACATGATGTGTTACGGGAACGAGGTGAGAGGCTCATGTTATTGTTGTTATTGTTATTTTTATTGAAATAATAAGATTAAATTTTGTCACCCGAACGATAAAATAAGTAACGCAGCGTAACACGAAAACTCGTCCGATCGAGAGCTCGGCACGTGGTGCAGTTATTTTTACTGCGCTGTACTTGGCAATGACAGTGATGTCTCATCTTTTTTTTTTTTTTTTTTTTTTTCAGAGATTTACGCAGTACCTAGCCTCGAGCAACAGTACGTTTCAGCTCAGCAACTTTCTCGACAAAAGCGGCGTGCAAGGTAAATACGTCTTTTGACTGTGCCTTTTCCACCTTTCGCAATAACGAGAGTAAATTAACACGTACCCATATGGTATATAACAATCAACGGCTAATAATATAATATATAATGCACTTGTGATGATGATGATGATGATCGCACTTGGCTTACTCTTTTTTTTTTTTTTTTTTTTTTTTCAATGAAAAATTACTCTGCAAACCTTTTACAATCTAGGCTTGTTGATCTCGTCAAATAAGTAAATATGTTTTTTCTTTGTTGAAGAGGATCGAGCTTTTACATATACATATATAAGTACATTACGTGTAACGGAGCAATGTCACCTAATTTTGTATTTTTTTATTTTTGAACAATAATAATCTAAAAGATGATGAAAATTTCAAATCAGACATTATCGCCACTGTCTATTCCAAAACTTTGGATGAGCAGTCAAGCTTACGCGTTTTGTTGTATCAATTGTATATGTTTAGAGATGAAAAAAATAAAATAAAATAAATAAATAAAAAACTTTATACGTAGAGTGATTCCGAAAAATTGTAAAATATCAATAATAATTATATTCCTGTAATTGGGCGACTTGTATACTAACATCGAACAATTTTCTTTTTGCTCGACGAAGGAGGACAAGCGCGCATCGGTGAGTTTTATGTGGTCTTGGAATGCGTTTTCGTTCATTTCAGCAAGCCCCCCCTTTTTTACTATTTCTATTACTGTTGTTATTATTATTATTATTATTAGTGTTTTTAATTATCAAACTAACTATTCTCATTCATTTTGTCTACACTATTTTTACATTTTTGTAGTCCCTCTTAGCGTGTAATTAATTTAAAGCTTGATAATCCCTTTTTTCTTCCACATTATAATATTATCATTTTGTTTGTTTGTTTGTTTGTTTGTTTGTTTGTCAAGAGTTTACGTTAGTAAGTGAGATTTTTTTTTTTATTTCTTACTTCCTGTACATTATTCTCTATACTTTGTTATTTTGTACATCGATGTTTGAGAGGTATTATCGTTTCTTTTATTTTTTGCGTAGCCACAAATAAAATCCATTAGTTATTCTAACTAACGCACTAAAAAATCCATTACATGCGTGTTGTTGTTGTTGTTAAAATGTTCACTCTTACGTCAATTTAAAGGACTTTTATTCTCTTTTGTTGATTTCCAATGCATTTTAGCATCCTCAATTTTTTGGACGACATTATACCAAAGATCTTGCTATTTCAGGATACGACATGTCTCCGTTCATCAGGAGGTACGCGAAATACTTGAACGACAAGGCCATGTCCTACAGATCGGTCGCCTTTGACTTTTGCAAAGTCAAGCGGGGGTAAGCCTTTGCCCGATGGAGGGAACAATCAAAAACTTTTCATTTTAAACGAAATAACTAATAAAAAAATTAAACCGTAGGAAAGAGGAGGGCACGCTTCGGACGATGAACGCGGAGAAGCTGTTGAAGACGCTGCCGGTGCTGCAGAGCCAGCTCGACTCGCTGCTCGAGTTCGACTGCTCGGCCAATGATCTCACGAACGGAGTCATCAACATGGCCTTCATGCTGCTCTTCCGAGATCTCATTCGGCTGTTTGCCGGCTACAACGACGGCATCATTAATCTCTTAGGTCAGTCTAAACTCTTTGGTGTGTTTAATCTTTTCTTTTTTTTTTTTTTTTTTTTTTTTTTTTTTTTTTTTCTCCTTCCTGCACGTGTACCGATACATATAAATTCTTATGCCAATTCTTTGTTGCAGAAAAATACTTCGATATGAATAAGAAACAATGCCGAGAGGCTTTGGATTTGTATAAAAAATTTCTCGTCAGAATGGACAAAGTAGGCGAATTCTTGAAAGTGGCAGAAGTAAGTTTGCATGGAAGACGATGATATGTTACGTACTTGCACATTTACAATAATGGTGAATGTAATTTTTTTTTTTTTTCCGTACAGAACGTAGGTATCGACAAAGGAGACATTCCAGATCTGACCAAGGTAACGAATGCACCTTTCACATGTTAAATCGCCAATCCGCGCATTCGATTTAATGGCTTGTTATTTTTAGGCTCCCAGCAGCTTGTTGGACGCGTTAGAGCAACATTTAGCCTCGCTAGAGGGTAGGAAAGGTTCGGCGGCTAATACGCCGACCCAGTCGGCGAGGTAAGTCAAGCTCCTCGTCTTGTCATTTTATGTATTTTAATAATAATGCTACTGAACGAGCATCGGTGGAAAGATGGTTTTAATTAATAATCCACTAACTTTTCCAAGCAATCAACTAATAATACTAATATGGCCACTGCTACTAAATACAATTTAATGAACGATAACTCTTCTCTCCCCATTGCTCTTTATTTTCATATGATAAATGTCAAGATGAATGAATTTAATTATCTTCTCTGTTTAAAAGTACTGACATTTTAGACATCTATATATTTTTCTAACAATTTTCAATGTATGGGACATAATTGGAATTTTAACCCATTGGCATATCCATGGAGTTTCGTTGCTCATTTCTCAAAGTTGGCTCAAGCCATTTGTGCAAATCAATTGTTTATGTATAGGAGAAACACAGAAAGAAAAATAAAGAGAAATGAGGAATGAAATTTTATAATGATCTTTTACATGGATATGTCGTCTGTCCTTCCTCTGCCACGGCCTCATCCAAAAAGACCTTGCATCGATCATACATCACGTGCACCATGAATCTATTTGATACTTTCATTAAACACTAAACCAAATTTTCAGTTTTCTTACAAACCGCACAAGAGAGCGACACCAAAATTTCAAAACAAGTTATTATTTCAATTCAACACATGATTCGATCTGTAATTTTTAAAATTTTATAAAGATGTTGCTTGAGTTTTATCAGTATTTACTATTGTTAATTGATGTACCTTTTTGACAAACAAATGTAAATAGAGTTGACAACCACGTAGATTTTACTGTGATGAACACCTTTTTTCTAAAAAATACAATTTTACAAAATTTAGAAAGTAAAAATGTTTAAAAAAACAAGTAGAAAGTTCGTTTACTCAAAACTAACAATTTGTTTTCGCGTTTCTTAAGTGTTTGTGAAAAAATTTCTAACGTCATTGATGGATGCAGTGCTTGATGTTTTCATGTTCACTTTTGGGCATGTAACAACAATAACAATTAGTTACCATTAAGCTTGATGTTCTAACAAATAAATATATTTTAACAAAACATTTGTAGTATTAGATGAACTTTAATCCCCACATCTAACTGAGCATGAGATAGATACGAGTGCATATTTACCCTTGTAATGCACTAACGTCTATATGTATACAGTTGACTAATATGCAGTCTGGGAAAAAAACCTCATTTTTTGTACATGATAGTAATTTTCAGTGACATTCAAAATTAATTGAAGTCTTGTGAATATTATAGTCCGAGTATAAAGCTGATTTTTTTTTCCCAGTACGTTTAGCGTGTGTTCTTAGGCATGTAATTTTGTACACGGTGGAACAAAGAAAAAAAATAATACAGCACCAACACGCAACAGAAATATTTCTGTTTATATGTTCACTTAACACTTGACTAACACATTATATTTTTACGTAAATCTGCATTTATAGATGTACTACACTGTTTTTTTCTTTTTGTCTCTTCCTCTTTTTTTTTATCTCTCTCTCACTACACTATCGAATCCCATCATCTGTCTCACACGCCTCTTCGATACTCGATCTCTCTCTTGGAACAAAAAACCAATCCAACAACTGTTCCCGCTGGTGAAAACAATCCCACTTCATTGTCATGTCATTCATGTCAAATACCCATATCCACAACGACACCATCTGCGCCCCCCCCTTTCCCCCGAAAAAGCAGCAATCGAACGAATGTAAAGTCGGGAGTGTCCGCCCTGTCTTCCACCAGCACTGCCTTCGGCACCGCGGTGAGCAATCAGCGGCTGGATAGCACTGGAAATGGACACATAGACGACGCCGTTAGGCAGCAGGTCCTTGCCGAGGAGGAGGCTGTCTTGAACCAGTACAAGGTTTGCCGATCTACCAACAAACACCACTTTTAAATGATAAAATCATCGAGTAAAACAAACATGATGATTCGTTGCGAAAAATTTTTTCAGGCCAAAGTACAATCACCAACATCGGCGAGTACGAATCCATTTCTTAGCTCACCTACTAACAACTCTGGCCAACCGATCGTTGACTTATTTGGAGGTGGTGCATCCCTGGCCGATAATCAGGTAAGAGTCGTCAACCACGTGATAGTTTTCTGTCCTGATACAATATGTACTGTTGCAAAAAAAAAAAAAAACAATAATTGAACTATTATTCTGTTGTATGGTGGACAAACTGACAGAAGGCGTCGGATGATTTGTTACAACTGGCAGGAAATCCATTTGCCGACATGTTTGGGGCACCCCAGCCAGCTGCTACAGCGGCAGCGGCAGTGCAACCAGCACCGGTACAGAATAACATGTGGATGACTAACGGTAATGGTAAATACAGGAATCTCGTTATTTATATTTATTTTCTCAACTTTATCCTATCACCATGTTTCGTACATCGTTTGTTTATTTTTTCACACTCGTACATACCGATTTCTGGATGTTAGTGCACGTTGCTCACATGTTGATTTGATTTTGATACCCATACTTTGTGTTTTTATTTTCAGTTTTTCATCACGTACTCGTTGTTATTTTGGTTTTGTAGGTTTCGCCATGGCAGCACCGGCAACTAATAACTTTGTTACAGATAACAATTTCTCTTCCGTCTTTGGCAGTCAGGATCAGCAGACCGGTGAGTAAGCTAAAGATCACCGCAAATGCACCACTTTGCGGTTCTCGTTCTGATGCCCTATTCTTTTTCTTTATCTATATATTTTTCTTCGAGTTTTTACATACATGTATATTTCATACAGCATTCGATTTAGCTGTATCGGTTTACCACTGAGCCTGTATACCTTTTTATGATTTTTTTTCGTTTTTCGAAAAAAAAAGAAGAAAAAAAAACAAAAGGATCCTGAAGCGATTGACAAATTACGTTTAATGTCTATTACTATACTTATACAGGATATTCAATCGTTACTTATTACCATTTCTACGTTGATTCATCACTGCATTAATATACACACAAATCATAAAAAAAAAAAAACGCACGATATTATGATTTAGAAATTTCTTAGACTTAGCTTAGATCATAGTTTGTCCGTAATCAAAAACATCATTTGAATGCACATTTTTTGTCATTCAGTTTTTTCTTCTTATATTAAGTCGCGTAAGTTTCTCGTGGTCGCAGGATATCAAACGAAGCCGGAAACACGAGGAGCTGATTATATGTATCTCTTTTTCTTCTGTTCTCTTTTTTTCTTTTCGACCCCGCACGTGATGGCTGCCTCTTTTATCTGTATATGCGTCAACCACTCCTATCACCACTTGAAAACAATTCTCCTCGGAAACCATGCACAAATGTATCTAATCTCATGGGCCAACGAAACCACCTCCTGACTCTCATTATCTCACTCTCTCTCTCTCTCTCTCTCTCTCGTTCACTCTAATCTGTCTTTCACTAACCGACTAATATAATCGTGCGATACCGCCTTGGTCACTTTCTGCGCAAGCTGCCGCCCCAGGAGCCGGCTTACCGAATCCCTTTGATCCCGAATTCCCATCCTCGGCTCCCCCAGACACCACAGCCGACCACCAGCAGCAGTTCCAGCAAATGGCAGGGGGATTGGATGGCCAGGCGGGCGCCGGCGGAGACCTGTTCGGCGGTCAGGCGGCAGACCTGTTTGGGGTCGACGGGGCAGTGGCGCATGGACCAAGCGACAACATAGCCGGCGAGCAGCCGCAGCAGAGCGTCCATCAAGCCACTGCCGCGCCGCCACCCAGACCACCGCCTCCTGGGGCCCAAGGTGGCACGCCGCGCTCCGCCTCGCCCGCCCAGCCGGCCAAGAGCGCGTTCGACGACCTCAACGACAGCATAAGGATGGCCCTTGGTGGCTCTCCCTCGCGCTCGACCCCCATGGCCCAACAGCAACAGCAGCAACAACAACAACCAGCTCAGCAGCAACCGCCACCCGGTGCTTTTCCCGTGTACGATATGAACCAGCAGGCCCAAATGATGGGTGGACCGATGATCGGCGGCTACGGGGTCGCTCCCTCCCAAGCCCAACTCCCCATGGGATACGGATCCCCGGCTAAGCAGCCGCTGCCAGGTGATGGGACTGTCCGCTAAAGAGACAAGAGCCAAGCTTTTTTTTCACTCGTTCTCTTTCTTTTTTTATTTATTTATTTTTTTTTTTTTTTATTATTTTCGTTGTTTTCATCATCATCAGCGTCATTATATTATTATTTGTTTCGCTGTTTGTTAATTTATTATTTTCTTTGCCCAACTCTGTACCACTGAGCATCAGGAATTCGATGAAAATGTTTGATGTCAACAATGTCAGTGGCACGGCGTTAATATCGCCGCATGCGCCGTTGCTATCGAGTAATAGTGTATCGTTACATCGTTATTACCTACAATTTTCATCGTCGACGTACACTTGTACTATTGGCTTTGACTGATCGAGTGAGACTTTGTTACTTTAAACTGTATTCCCTTACATTTGTCAAATGACCAACTCGGGTTGTTTGAAGCGATAAATTTCCGAGAGATCATACTTTCAAGCAATCCATGTGTTTTTTATGAATTTAGTTTTTTTACTCTTTACTTGTGCAAATTTACCGTTAAAGAATCAATCGTAATTACAGGACTATTTTTTAAGTTACCATTTTCATGTTTGTCAGTATTTTGTTTTACTAGTCTTATGACCTTATGGTATGTGCCCAAAAGTATCTTGTTTTAAGCATACGAAAAGTCGAGCGAGCGGCCTTGCACTTTTGGTGACTGTTCCACCGAACCCACTCATTTTACTTTTTTTAAATGAAGCTTTTCGTTAAACTTTATTTACGTATTTTCAGTTTGATTTCAAAGACATTGTTCAACATTCGCATATACAGATTTTATCTTAACTATGTACACGTAACGAGCCAACGAAATGGCAGTAAAATCTGCATTGTAAATTGCTGAACTGCTTTCGTCGATCATATCCATTATATCTCACTAATTAAATTTAAAAAATTAATTGCTCTGAAGTAAGCTATCTAACGTCGAAGGGAAATCTTATTCACGCCAATTATTGATGTCAGCATAGTGCTAATTCAAATAAAAAATTCAGCAATAAATTAGACCGAGGCTGTAGAGGCTTGAATGGAATTTATTATTTTTAATCGTGCAAGAGCAACACGTCTAGAGCATAAATTATACAGTAAATGCGAAACATAGCTACATAGTTTGGAAAATCAATGCCCACTCTAAAAGTAACTCGGCAATTTAAAATTCATGGGTGACTGAACTTTCAACTACACCCAACCACTTGTTATATTGTCATTAAAACGACGCTCTCGACCTTATTTTAGTTAAAAGTTCCGCTCTCGTGACAATATTTTAATTGTACCGTTTGCAAATGAATCCTTGTAAATAAAAGAAGAAGAAGAAAAAAAAAACAAGTAATCGATGCCGCCTCATTACCTATCCAAACACAAATGAAATGCCCATTCCGATCCGGAAGCACACAAGCGCAGCGCGTAAAGAAAATAAATGTGTCCTCTTCCTCCTCCTTCGCTTAAACACACACATCTCCATATGGTAACCGCATGCTACGTATACCGTACAACTTACCAAAAATATATAAAAAAAAAAAAAATCCCCGTAAAACCCGGCTTCGCTGCTTTTCTTTGTTTTCACGATTCGCATGACCCCCGGGGCTTCTGTTAACTTTTTACTTTCCACGCTCGGCCTCGCATGGCTTTGGTAGGCACTATTTCTCTTTCCCCGTCCCTCTTGTTTCTTTCGACGCTTGGAGGCTTTGCTCCTCGCACCGATGGATCCGCTCGAGCGCCCATGAGCCCAATACCTGCAGCTAGACATTTTTCAGCAGCTGGACAGCCGGCCGCAGCGGCCACGGCAGCCAACGCCGGCAAGGTGCTAACCGGCGACCTCGACAGCAGCCTCGCCAGCCTCGCCCAGAACCTTAGCATCAACAAGAGCGCCCAGCCGCAAAAGTACGTACGACACGCTTTACCTGTACAAGCTCCCGGCGATGGTACCGATGAGAATTATAATTAGACGGTGAATTTGCGTTTTAGGGGCATGCAGTGGAACTCTCCGAAAAACACGGCCAAGGCGGGTGGACCAGCTGGCGGATGGTCGCCTCAGCCGATGGCGGCTACCACGGGCGCGGGTTATCGTCCAATGGTGAGTACCACGGGTTTGTGCAAGTATATTTCTCGCTTCGGTTGTCTCGCTGCAGGCTCAGTTTTTCCAAGTTCAGCACGTTGTTTTTTTTTTTTTTTTTTTTTTTGGTCCCTATTATCTGCGCTGAACTCGAGCCGTGGCAGGATTTGCGCGTACAGCGGGATGAGATGCAATTTTTCGATTTTTTTTTTTTTTTTTTTTTCTCCACATTTATACATTCATCGATATTTCAGCAAGGACCCACCGAGTTTTCGTCCAACTCCGACCATACTAATTACTCACGAGAGTAGTGTTTGGCGTGTAATTATTTAGCTCGAACCGCTCTCACCGTACACTTTTTTTACATTCACGTATTTACGATAAACTAGCATTTGCAAACGATTGTTCAGGCTTTGGCATCAGTAAAAGTTCCCGTAGCAAGCTTTTTCGCAGATTTTTTATCCAAATTTTTCTTTGTCTTTTGTATTTTCACAAAACTTTGTTGGACGACATTGCGATTGGCGGTAAACTTTAAAAAAGTCATCCAACAGAGTTGATGGCGGCGTAAACATATAGCGAAATGATGCATGCATAGCATACGGCATGTTAATGGCTGTTACAGGGCCAAGGAATGACGCAACTCCCCGCAGCAACCACTATGGGCTTCGCAACCCAGCCTGCGCCGCTGGTGAGTTTTTAGTTAAGCAAGGCACAAGTGTTACTTTTTTTTCGCTCACCTGTTTAATTTTGTACCTATGTCATACACACACACACCCTTGCTCTCTAATATCTAACTCGTCCAACAACAAGCGATGACGACGATTATGGTGATTTGCTCGGTTTCCACGTATACATAGACAAGCATAAGTATGGCACCATTGAAATTTACAGCTGGCGCGAGATAGAAAAGTTGTCACTAATACAGTAACCGTACACGTGCACCGTTCTTACCATACCATTGGCTTAATCGGCAAACTGAATAAAAGTTTATTTTGTCGATTAAGCTTTGTTCGTTTGTATCTAAAAAAAAAAAAAAATTGCAAGGTTTTATACTTACACGTATGTAGCTAGAAATGTTAATACTTTTTTTTCTGCACCAGTATTCGGCTTTTTTCATTATGGCATTTAATATATCTATGTTTAGTTGTAATAGAGCACAAACACACACGTATCGGTTGAAAAATACTTTTGATGAATTGAAAGTCTCACGTAAGTTGTTTCAGCCAACATTTTTCAATTAGATACCAGTCTGATGCTGTACATTTTTTACCGATATAGAACAACTTGGAGCAAAAAAAAAAAAAAAAAAAACCCTCTCCCTACCCCATCTCTCCTTGATTCATCAAATTACGGCCCCCAACCGTGTAATAGCGCTCAGATGTGACAAACAAACATTGAATTAAAGCAAAATTGATGGGCATGACGGTGTTGCGCGTGTGTTGTCGGTGTCTTGTGTGCAGATGATGCAGGGCGCGCCGATGGGCATGCAGGGCCCGAGGCCGATGATGGGCGCTGCCCCCGGGGGCATGGTCATGATGGCCGGGGGTCCGGCACTGGTGCAGCAGCCCCAGCAAGGCGTGATGCCAGGGACACCGCAGATGCAACATCAACAGCAGCCCGCGCCAGCCCAGGTCCAACAGCCGCCCCAGGCTAACCAGGTGCAACTCGACCCCTTTGGCGCACTGTGAGCTAGCTAGGAGGTACACACCGATCAGCCCTTGATACGTTTTTTCCTCGTCCCCTCCGTTGTTGTTTTTGGTCTCGTGCATTGACTGTGCATCAGCGATTGTTTTTTTTTTTTTTTTTTTCCCTTTCGAGTAGGTATTTAAAAGATTTTCGGTACATACGGGTATAGCTTGTATAGCTCTAGCACCAGCAATTATTATGTACCTACTCACATTGCAATTACTCGAAATCACGTATACTAACTCTTTAACAAGCTGCAAAAAATTGTGGATAACACCTCAAGTAATGATTATATAATATTGTATTGTTGTACATTAAAAAAAGAGCACGCGTTGTACAGACTAAATTTGTTTTGGACTAAACTGTGACGTATATTTTTATTCCAAATGTTTGATGGTCCCTGAATGAAAAAAAAAAAAAAAAAAAAAAACACCATAGCGTATTTCAATTAAAGTGATTTTGTTTCGCTCCTTTCAGGAATTCAATTGGAAGTAAGGTCGAGACAATGCACCAATTACTGTAAATATTGTGTAATAATACCCACATAACCGAGGTACGTAAAACAACCCTGGCTTCTATTGAGTTTCGTCGTCTTGTTTTTTTTCCTCCTTGGATTTTCGCTCGTTCGCAACGCAACGAAGTAAAACAAAAAAAAATTAATATTGCAATCAATCACGACTCTCCTCCGATGGAACGATGGCGTCGATAACGACAGAGACAAAATCTCAGGGTGGACGTTCTTACGAAAAATATTACTGTTCAAACGAACAGGAAATGGAGTATCAAAAAACGAAAACAAAAAAAAAAAAAAAAAAAAAAAAAAAAAAACGATGTAGTGTATACTTTACGGTCCTATTATCATTAGGATTACGATCTATATAGTACATAGATTGATTATATTTTGGCGCAGAGGTAACCATATTAATATACCCTCGTAGAGACGTTGCCCCGTGCGTTTATATTGTATATTTTTGCTTTAATTATATTTTTTATTTTTATTTTAATGGTTATACAATAATACGGATTATACGTTATTAAGATAATAATTGTATGATTATCAACATTATCAACCGTGCAAAAAATGGGCGAGAGGATATAGCGTCTATTGAGATGTCTTTTGTTGAAGTATTACAAATGAAATAATGTTTACAATGTTAGACTATAAAATAATCGTGGATGTGAACGAAATCGGCCCGTCGTGGTTGCAGATCGGCGCCGATGATAATCACAATGATAAATGATGCTGACGATTAAAAAAAAAATGGCGGCTACCACGGGCGCGGGTTATCGTCCAATGGTGAGTACCACGGGTTTGTGCAAGTATATTTCTCGCTTCGGTTGTCTCGCCTGACTCTCATTATCTCACTCTCTCTCTCTCTCTCTCTCTCTCGTTCACTCTAATCTGTCTTTCACTAACCGACTAATATAATCGTGCGATACCGCCTTGGTCACTTTCTGCGCAAGCTGCCGCCCCAGGAGCCGGCTTACCGAANTCAATCAAAAGAAAGAAAAAAGGTATATATTATATTACACGTATATAATTATATTGAAGAAACAATTACATTAATGTGTGATTCCGCTCTCCTTGTTGATTGTTCTTTCATTGTACTGTTTGGATATATCTTAATTAGCTAGTTAATTACATAACGTTACAAAGGAGCACGAGAGTGCCATCCGATTCTCGTGTGCAAGTGTATAAATTTTATCGACGGTGTACACTGTATATTAAAAAATACGTCGCGTTAATTTATTGGTCATGATTATTTTTACATGTGCCCGAACAATTTTTATACGTTGATTTTTTTTTGTCCGCATCGTGCTATGTATAGCAAACGTATTTTTGAAGTGCTGTATTTCATACGTGTATTTGAACGTTACGTCTAATGTTTTAAAGCTTCGATTTTTTTCGCTGCTTGAGATGGTTATTTTTTTGATTCACTCTATTATGTAAAGAATCGTAAGTAGATATGAAGAAGAAAAAAAAAAAAAAAAAAAATTGTTTCAACAACAATTGAATTTTATGAATTTTGTCGTTGTGTTGGCGTTCATATCCCGTGAGCCGATTATTTTTTACGTTTAAAAACTTGTCTTCGATTTATGTGATATTTTTATTTACAATCGTTCAAAAATTGGTTTTACTTGGAAATGTTTTTAAAAATAATCACGGCAGTATCCCATCTTTCATTTCACGTGGGTCGACAAAACGAAAAACGCGTGCAACTGTAAAGTGCAATCTGAAAATCCATCGTTATATGTGTATACGTTTACAAGGTGAGCATTTAAATAGCAACCGAGAAAAGATAAACGACAAACGATTGTCTTATTTTTTCTCGCAAAGTATGTAATTACATGAACATGTATAACGTGTATTTAGCCACTAGAATCATACATTCGCAATATATTTATTTAATTTTTAGTTTTGCGTAATATCGTTTTCCTTCATGCATACCGCACGTAAAAACACGATTGTCAGAGACACTTGTAAAAAGGATGGATAATTGTTCGCATGTGCACGGAGCTACTGTAACAAGTGAACTCTATCGTATGATTATATATGAGGGAATGAAAGTTTGTTTGTGTGTAGAGTTCCTGAGTAAAAAAAAAACAAAAAAAAAAAAGAAAAAAAAATGAAAGGAAAGAAAGAAAAACATAATTACGTGGAAGTGTATTCTGTAAATTTCAAAAATATAAAGAATTGTAGTTGTTCATATATTTTCGCGTATCAAAGGGCCACTGACACAATGAGTGTACCCAAATCTATCGCTTACTTTCGCTACGCACGCGGTCAAATGAGAGTCGTCCGAATTGATATTAAATGAATATACGATATCATTTTGTTGATAGTTTATAGATATAAAAATTGCATGCAGAGAAAATAATAAATTATGCAGTGAGATGAAATTTGGCCAAATGCAGTTGTAAAATTATATTTGAAATTCAATAAATCGTGGATCTGTACAGTTATTTTATCTCTTTCTCTGCTATCATATTATTTGATATTATACTATTCGCACGAATGTGTAATTTTCAATGAGAACCTATTTTCAATTCACATCAAGGATACCGAGGAATCGCTCAAAATAAGAATTATTCTCGGTAATAAAATACACTATACTTTGTGTAAAAATGTTATCTCATAAAACACAGAGTACTCATGTACATGTAAATAATAGATAACAAAAAGAAAAATTGCTTTCAAAGTACTCTTCATTACATGGTTATCGTCGCAAACAGAGAAGCTTCTTTAACTATAAAAAAAAATGCTTAAAAATGTGAATGTGGATCTTGCATGACGAGCGTAAAAAATATATATACTCTAGCCTAAACTGTGGCATATCCAAAAAGAAATGTACGAAAAGTTGAATAATTAAAATCCTATAATACGTTTTCAAAGAATTTCACACTTTAAGATGAATAATGATAATTTGCTTGTCCTCATATTTAGCTACGAGATGATGAAACCTTATGGAAATATAAAGTAAGAAAAAATGAATTGTGTGTATTCTATAATAAAGAGTGGAAATATTTCGAACAAAATGTAGAAAAAAAAAAATAGTAGACATGTGGCCTTGTCCACTTTTATTAATAATAAGCGTATCTGGACAATATAAAGTACTATATACCATACACAAGTGCTAAATTAAATGACAGAGTAATAATGAGTACTACATATTTCTCTGAGTATATCAACATAAAAAAAATTGATTAATAAGATGAATAAAAAAAATGTAATGTATCAATGTGAAGTTTTAATTTAAAAATATAATGCAAGTCGATTAGTCATGTTCAATGTTTTTACTTCAATTATTTGCCTGGATATTCATTTTAATTACTTGGTGCAGCAGTAAGATCTAATAATATGTGTTGGAAAAATTAGTAAACTATGATGCACGCATCTAATCGATTTTTTTTTTTTAATGAAAACTTGTAGGAGTATCTGTGAAGAAAACTAACTGTTATCTAGTTCTTAAAAAAAAAAATAACAAAATAAATGATTAAATATCAGTACACACACACGCTTGTATATGTACAATATAATTAAAATAAAAGAAGAATATATTGTATACATATGTATCGAAAGAATTGCATATTTATGGAATGGAAAGTTATATATATACGTAAACTCCTTGCGTTTTGGCATGTGTGCACGCATTGCGAAGACAAAGTAAGTACCACATAGGAATTTGTGAAATGCTCAAAAATGTGAAAAATATAACATTAAATAAAACATTTTTTTGCCCAAAAATTTGAGTTTATCAATCTGAAAACCTAATACCACGTATTTTCACACAAAAATATTTCTTGGGTTAATAACATGATTTATCTTTATAAAAATGTTTATAAATTCATTATTACAAAAATGTTATAATAATTTAGAAAAAAAAATATTGCAGACAAATTGTATTTCCTGTTGCCTATTATTAAAGCAGTTCTAGTTTAGAGTTGCAAGCAAATAAAACCTCGTAAAAACCACGTTTTACGAAATCCACAACTAATTTCACTACAATCCCCAGAAGTACACTCAAAAGCCTTTGCTCTCAAATTTTCGGCGTCTTTCAAAATTGGAAAATTTACATGATCGAACATGTTCATTGGAGTTTCCAAAAATTTACTATGGTTTTTGCCGTATACTTAAGTAGGAATCGCACTTTGCACACACGTTTGCTCGAGGAAAAAGATGAGTCTCGTGCAGACTGTTAAAACGAAAGGAGAAATAGGCAAGTGTGAGCTCTGATGAATGGTACCGCTGGGGCTCTTAAATTCTCGAAGAATGTACGAGTGGCAAAATGGTATCTGGGGCCCCTTTCCGCTCTCGAACGAGATACAGCCGAAAGACAATAAATTTTCCGATTCTTGCTCTCGTGGAAAAGCCCCTCGAGAACTTTGATAAATAGAATCGAGAATCTCCCCAAGGTAATAAGGAATGTGACTCATACAGGAAATCATATATTCATTTACCGAAAAAAATTTACGATGTTTTTATGTATGTGCATGTATTGGTTTTGCGGAATGAGAATGAATCACTCAAAATGTATCTTTCATTTACTTGTTATATTTCCACATACTACAATCTAATATAAACGTTGTTATAGATTTTTACTTAGATCAAGGTTCTTAAATTTTTTTTTTCTTTGTCATTTTAGTAGTCTCTATTTTTAAGAAATAACTTAAACGGCGATATAAAAATGTGTGATTTCACATGCATATATGGCACATCAGTCTGTTTTTATAAATCATGTTTTTTACCTTATTTATAGGTATTGATTTTTTAAATTTCATCTAAGTTAATTGAATAAGATGTATTTTCTTGTCTGTAATACTAATATCCATGATAATTTAGAGATTTTTATCACTACCGCAACATTTCCTTATACTTCTGCTTGTGTTTACTCAACATCTCGGTAACCGTAACGAGCTGCTTGATGGTCGGCTGAAACGAAAAATCACCCCATAATACATATAGGTTGAAAAAAAAAAAAAAAAAGATACGAAAAGAAAAGTATAGATACCTGTTGCTTGGCCAAGATTTGCAGCTCTTTTAAATGCGACATGCAAATGTGATGCAAATTAGCTAGATCCTTGGATATATCCGATATACTCTTGCCCCGGGGTATGATGTTTTCTGACTCGGGCTTCTCTGAAACATTCTTTCAATTCACACCCACCCACACTCGATCAGTCTCTCATGTATCGTAAAATTTTAAAGAATCCTTCAATTATTATTATTATTATTTTTTTTTTATAACGCGCAATGTGTGTATAGATGAAATAATACAAATTACAGATCGAATAACCTATCATGTGCTAACTTTCAAAAGGGGGGCGGGGTAATGATCAATTTACCAATCGGTCGATACAAGCTAACGTTACTCGAGCGAGGACGGCGTCTCTTTACCTCCTGATCCTCCCGAGGACCTTCCAAGCTATAGAATTTCGAAACCCCCGTTCACTCGTGGGGCTTTCGCGAAATTTATCCGCTCGTGTTCAATTACAGTCCGAGTTGACTAGAGTTGTACTTATTTTTGTTCGCAAAGAAACGACTCGTTGATTCGACTCGCTCATAGTTGCATCCAATTCCAATACAATTGTAATTTAAAAAAAAATTATCATAATGATCTTACCGACAACTGGTCTAAAAATACCACCATTCTCTCTTTATTTTTGAGAATAAATGGATTGACGACCTCCATGTACGGCTCCTTGCCCCCAAATTCCACGAGGTTGGCCAAATTTTGCAGGCACTTGGCCACCATGACTAAGGACCTGGGCAAAATAAATTTTTTTCGATTCACCAATGTACGCTCGTCATAACTGCAGTTAGATAACGCGTCGTGCGGTGCTAACTTTACCTAGTCGCGGCTGGAGATGGTGACTCGGCGATCAGATTGAACGACTTTGGATTCAGTATGGCAGGACAAAGTAGCCGCAAGAATATAAAACCGCTGACTACTCGCGTTCTCACGAATCTCTCGTGCGGCCACTTTGAGGCGACCGCGCGCTGGAGGCAGCCGCAGATGTAACGCAGGGTCTTTGGGCACATTTCGTGACTCGTGAATATGTTTAGAGTTATTTCGTCCAAAATCTGAAAGAAAAACACCGTGGACGATACCGTAACGAGGATAAATAAATGTGCAAATACCTAATTACAGAGAGTCCCGGTGGTACTCACTTGTAACAAAAACTCGGCATTGTTGCACGCGTCCTCGGGCGAATCCATTTTAGAGGGATTCAGTTCACAGCTCTGTTTGTTTTCGATTATTTTGATAATGGTGTCCTGCAGGGCGGACTTTAAAAACGACGTGCACACCGATTTCATGTAAAGGTCCATGAGAGTCGTCGTGAGACTAGCTGCTCTGAACAGGGTCGGTGTCTCGTCCTCCTTGTCGACCTACGGAAAAACAATATTTTTACGTTTTGTAACGTCAAATTGTGTATGGATTCCCTACCTCGGCTTGATTCAGCGATCGTAGAAGATCTGCTTCCTTCTTCTCGTGTCTGCGAGGGAGAACACACAATTGACAGCCAAAACATAGGTAAAGTAAAAATCAATAATGGTACAAAAGCTATGCACGATCTCACCTGAACACTCGCAGAAGACTGTTGGCCAGAGGTATTTTGTCAAGGTGACAGACGTCAGCCAGAGCTTTGACAACGTGCAACTCGGGGTCGAGCAACAGCTGCTGAAGCGGACTGTACTCTTCGGGTGGCATCGCCAGATCGTGACAGTATCTGGAAAATATGTATATACATATATATAGGTCTATGTTGTTTGTCTCGTTTATTACCAACGAAGGTCCCAGTGCGTCGCTCACCTCAAGCGTAGACGGAGCGCGCCCCAATCTCCCATAGGCGTGACTCCCGCGAGCGGATACCACTCGTCCATCTCCTCGTTGTTGATCAAGCTCGACAGCTCGACCGTGACCTCGGCCACCTCCGTGTCCTTGCTGCGCTTGCCCTTGTTGTACAACGTCAGGGTGAACGACACCACGTCAGACGGCACATCTCTGCAATGGCATTACAATTCAATGTAAAAAAAAATATCCAACAAAAGCATGACATTGTGTAACGAGTACACACTCCAAGATAAACTCCTCGTCCCAGACGGCGTGGAGGCCCTGCTTGGCTTTCGTGCGAGCCACCTTGACGTTGTTCAGAGCCACGATGATAAAGGGACTCGGCACGAGCTTGTACGGCAGCCTGTGAGCGTCGAGGATGTGCAGCTGGAGCGAGCGGAGTTCCCGAAGGCGCGCCACCTTCGGGGCCCTGGTCAGCTGGGAGACGCACAACGGCTTGATCGCGCCGATCCAGTCCGAGGCGATTTCCGAGTTTGGTGCCGACAGATACGTTATCGTCGACAGACACGGCAACGCTCGCTCGACCAGCTGGAAGCAGTGCGGCCTGTCGAAGACGCTCTCGTGCACCTGTCGAGATTACACGTATATTATATATAATACGTATTGGGCATCTTAAGTAATAAAAATTATAATATATATATATACCTGGTACAAGTAGGCGCAGCTCAAATCGATAAGGCCTTTGGGTTTGGTTCGCTTGGGATTGTCGTACAGATACAAGTGCGTGTCGCTTCCCTCGACGAGCAGGACAAAGTACAAAATCTTCCACTTTTTGTTCTTCTCCGACTTTTTCTCCAGGTAGCCCTGCATCTTGATGCCCTTGTTCTTTTTCGCCCCGGACTGCTCGCGGCACTCGCGCAGAGTGGCGTAGATCTTTTCCGCGTGCTGTACCTCCTTGTCGACCCTGACCGTGCCGTCGGGCTCGGTAACCATGGCCTGAACCAGCGTGTGTCCCTCGACTATCTGCTCCTTACGATATCTGCAATGTGGAGAAAAAAATGCGTTAGTTCTTGGTATAATTTCTGTACGTACAATAAACGTATGGCGTACCTGTTGATGACGGCGTCGAGGCACTCAAAGGTCCTCCCGCCCATGAGGTATCGTACGCCCTTCTTCTCGATCCTAAATCTCTGGATCTGGTTGTTGATGTGGAAGAAGAGCGAGTAGTCGCCCGGGCTGTTGTCCGAGGGCCTGACCAAAAAACTCCCGGGCCCGGCCTTGACGAGCATGTCCACGGCCTCGCTCTTTGTGACGTTCGGGTGGAACCAGGAGAACACCGTGTTGGGGTCTATCGAGTCGTCGAGGTTGTCCACGAGCTCGCGGAAGATGAGGCCCTGCTCGCCGGTCCTGTGGGCGGTAACCCAGAGCCAGCCGTCACCCATGTCGTTGTGGACGAAAAATATGTCACCCTTTTGGAAGCTCAGCTCGTCGGTGTCGGGCATCTTCGTGTACGGCAGGATGGCGACCATGCGTTTCTTGTCGTTGACCGGCTCGGGCGGTGGGATCGGATGGACGAGCCTCTCGCGCTTCAGCAGGTCCGAGTAGTGGGTGTAGTAGGCTATGAGGTCCATGAGGCTGTTGAACTGCCGGCCGCCGATGTAGTAGTCCCCGCAGACCGCGGTGATCCGAAAGTGGTTCACTCCCGTCCTGCCCAGGTAGGAGAGGACGTAGCTGCCGGGTTTCCTGTCGCTCTCGCGGACCAAGTAGCTGCCCATCTTGTTCACGTCCCAGAGTCTCTCCTCTGCCGAGAGTCGGTCCAGTCTGCCGTGGTACCACCTTCAAAAGGAAATATTACGTTGGTTCTTTGGCGTCAACGACAAGGGAATAACAACGTACTCGTTCTCAGCCGGAGTTTTGAGTGCCTTGTCTCGAGCGTTGTCGGGGTCCTCGATGTCTTGGGTGTCGTCGGGCAAGTTTTCCAGGAAAACGTCGAAGTCGTTGTCGGCGTTGGGCGCCTCGATGGGACCTCCGTCCTCGCTTTCGGTGCTCGGGGAGTCGCATTTTTTGTTCGTATCGACCTTCTGCAGTGAATACGCATTCATTCATTCATCGGTGAGAAATAAACCTAGAGGTACTTGGCAATAAGTGCTGAGCTCATTGCAGTACTTGGAAAAACTGTATGCCCTTCGGATAAAATCGGGGGCAAAAATTATTTTCGTAATCTCGCCTCTGGTGGCTCTTTTATTTTCTTGGAATTTCTTTTCCCGTCAAGCGAAAAATTCCGTATCCGGTTTCGTTTGGTATTTCTTCCCCCCCCCCCCCAAGCGTTAAGTTGTTTATCTGAACTACACACGCTGTTGTTATATTTCAAAGTAAAATGATGCACACGCGCGTTTCATCATATTGTCACAAGTATTTCAAATATTTCATGCACATCTGTGCTTCTTTTTCTTACCAAGTGAACTAAACTTTAATATCGTCACGTTTGTTTGAAATTCCTGATTCTCGAGAGTTATTTGAAGTGAAAAATATTTTGTAGAAAAAACGGTCTTGGACATACACGTAGATGAAATACGTTTTTCTTATAAATATTAATGTTGAAGCGGTATAATCTTGAAGTAATGCGTGAGTCAAGCCTACAGCCACAAAAACAGTCAAATCAAACGGTGCACTGCAAAATGTACTCGCAGTGCTACGAGTATACATGGAGCAAAAGCATCTCTGAGTCATGGGGAGTATTTCGGAACCACCGGATTCTCCGCTTGTAAATCGTATATGTAAAGTCATGGCGTTTTAAAAACTAGCAGATTCAATGAAAGCGTTATTTCGTGGCATACATACATTACGCACCAAGCGAGGAAGAAAAAAATATATTCGACGAAAGTGTAGGGTCGGGGGGAGATAAGGATTTTTCGTATATTTTCTCTCGGAAACAATATAGCCTTGCCTTGATGTTGTTGGAGACACTGGGTCCACCTCTGACGAACTCAGCCATTGCACACAGGGTTCCTCTTCAACAGCCGTAATGGAGCTTTTGCCTCTTGACCAAATGAACTCAACAACAACTCTACAACCCAATCATAACAGCTGACGAACAATCATCGATGCGATAGGCACGGCGTCCTCCCTCCGTTGTTCTTCCTCGGCGTGAAACGTCAGCGACCGAAACAATCGGAGTCGGCGGCCACCTCGCATCCTCGGCTCAACATCATCATCATTTCAACTCTTTCTCCTTTTTCTCTCTCACTTGACACTTTCCGACACAATATTATTTATTATATGGCCGGTCGTACAGCGCTTTTTCCGCCCTTTTGTTCGTTATTTATGAATCACAGAGTCCGACCGATGATTTACAACCGCACACTGCACATCACCGCGTAGGCTAAGTATATATACGCGTAAGCGCATCTCGCACACAACCTCAACGCGAATCATACATATATTATACATATATTGGTGCACGCATTCATGAACATTTTTCCATTGATTGTGCGAAATGTCGGGTGTTGTGATGATGATACTATATGTCTGGTCTATGGACTAGCTGGGGAGACGAGTAGGTATGAAGTGTACGTACTATCCCCTGCATGTGTGTGCACTTTAATGGCCCGTCTTCCCTTATTGGCGTTCTCTCGTCTTTTTCTATACATATAGGTACTTGCGTGCGAGGCTTTCGGAGCGCCCTTTCTCCCGAAGAGTATGCGCGTCGGCCACGTATTTTACGCTTTGTTCCGGGTACAATCGTTTTACCAATATTCGGCGATTTTACCCCCACAATTTGAGGAATTTTTATCACCGTCAACGATTTTTTTCCTTCAAATAAACAAATGGCCCCTTTTTTTCTCAAAAGATTCGAAAGAAGATACTCTCTTTATGCGCTAAAAGAACGCACTGTATGTTACGCGCGTCAAAAAACATCGAATGATTAGGTATACATATTATTTCTCGCTGCTCGTTGAAACGCACGAACAACCGATGCTCCATAATCATCATAAACATACCAACGGTAAAAGAGCAGTCGCATATACTATTCAATTTTTACGAGTACTTATAGCGTAAGGTCCAGTTTCATGTTTGTTCTCAACAACCCCTCGAAATCCAAGGTTGTGCCCCGATTCGCGCCCAAGGCGTGCCAACCGTTCCGTCGCTAGTGTTTTTTTCGCTTCGAACGAAGCTTGCGGGGAGCGCGCAGAAACTCCGGTTGCCGCGTCATCTATCGTAGCGGGGAAAAATTAAAACCCGGCGCTGGCCGAAAATTAAGGAAGGGAGTCGCTGAGAGAGAGAATGCAAGAGCAGCGGAGGAGAGACGGCGAACGCGCTTTCTCCTGGTGCCTGGTGGCAGGGCTCGTTCGAGCAGTTGGACTCGGGTCGTTGTCGGGAGTGGGTTGTGTGGTTCGCCGTCGCCGCTTTAGTGCGACATACACTACAGGTATACATCGACCGAGAGTTTATACACACACGCACAGGTCACGCTTGTACGTGTATTATAGTGGTGTGTATACATACAGTGGCGAGCGAAAGGGACCAGAACGAACTCTCTGGTTGAACCGTCGGTGATCTGTCCGTCGCAGCGTCGTGGATATTGTATTATACGTATATATATATCTGGTTTTTATTGTTCATTCGTACCTTACCCGAAGGTACAACCCGATGGTTATTCTTCATGGAGCCGCTCAATGTTTGATGTACTGGTATCGATTGGCGGCCTGCACGACGAGGCAGCGGCCCAGCCATCACCGTCTGCCCTGCAGTTGTGCCGTACAACACAACCCATAAGTAATACCTACATCGCGTCGAGCGCGCGTGTGCCTCCTTTCTCTCTCACCTCACCGATGACGCTCTTGAGCCTGCGGCTACACTGTTATCATTATTAACAGTACAGTGACTCGCGGAACAAGTATGCGCGCGTCCCGATAGCTAAGTACAAGGTGCAGCTCGTCGACCCCTTCGTCGTCGTCGTGGTCGCGTCTAACCCTGCAGTGTACCTACACCTAGACTTACGGGGTGTGCGCGCCGATCGGAGTCTGCTGCCCTTCGCGAGTTTTGTTCGTTCATCGTGTTGTTTTTTTTTTTTTTTTTTTTTCTGTTTTGTTATTGTGTATTTAAACGTATACGCAGGAGGAATGTTTTAGTTGATGTTTTAGTAATAGAGCACAGTTGTCCGAAAGAAAAGTGTCACCCGAGATCTACGCGAGTGCTCGAAATGCCAGTGTCCTTATGTGGTGTCGTGCAGACGCTCTTTTTACGTGGAGCATCATCGGTTCCTTCGCCGTCGCTGTCGTCCGCAGTAACATCAACAACCACAAGTTGTAACGTCAACGAAATCAACGAAAGCAGTGGCAGTAGTATTTTCAGTAGCAGTCGAGCACCGGGTATCGACGCCTGATGCTGCTGGATGGAGTTTGTCCAGCAGTGGAATACCTCAAGATTACCTTTTAGTGAAATGGTGATTTTTTTTTTCTCTTCCACTCTCTGTTCCCCTTTCCCAATCTTTTTCAAGTGCCGTTCGTCTTTTCGGGCGCCCGCAAGAGCTTCTCTACCCACCTATACGCGGAATCGATATCTCCTCTCTTAACCGTTCGTCCGCCGCTTGTTCGTACGAGAATTATATATTTCGTATCGCTCTCCGGCGTGCCTCACTACCTATATACCTTACACACTCTCTCTACCTCTACCTCTGGGAGAGAAAGAGAATGTAAAGGCCGAGCGCGTGTGCGTTTTATCGAGTCTCTGTGTAAGTGCATAAACGTAAAAGAGAGTGTATTTCATACGACTCCCCATGTACCCCATGCATGTGCACATATATTCGTAAAATATATACCTTTTGCGCGCAATATACGTATACAAGCACATATATGTAACATTTGTACGGGGCATTGTGTGTGCTTGTATTACCTACTTGCCCTTGTACCTACTCATCAAATTGAGTTGTGTTGTGTGAATAGCGAATTCAATTTGTGCGATAAAATTATAAGTGTCATTTCAACTTGCCAGACGTGATATGCAGCTTGCATTGAGTTTTGGCACACTTGAATTCTGTAGCTGCATATCATACACATATAGATTTCTATTATCCACCTCATTAACGTGAGTAAATTTATGGCTTGTGCAAAGCAGAATTTTCACATACTTGTAGTACACGGCTGGTAGACTCGAGGTGCCCAAATAATTTTTATTATAGTCACGTACTTGTTAAGCCTGAAACAATGGACTTGTGTGCTGATTGTTTCGATGGAGTTTATAAGTGAATCTGTCTTCTACTTTATAGAAGCAAAGTGCCGGAATTGTGTTTACAAATATGATGGTCTTTTCTAAATGGGATTATATCACGAGAAGATTTGTGCATCTCCCTGATTGCTTAATCTAATCAAGTAATTATGCGTGAAGCGTACTCAAACTTAATTCCTCTATTGTGTCAGATAGATTCGTGCTGTGGGTGAAATTTCGTTTATCGCTGCTTCATGTGTTTGTCTTGTGAGCATATTCATTGAAAGAAATGTGATTTAACCAAGTGCCATGTAGTTCATCCATTTAAAGTTTTTTTTTTTTTTTTTTTTTTATGCTCAATCAAACGAGTTTAAAAGCTAATTAAACGATCTAAAGTAAATCGCTACTTGGATCTAAGCCCAAAAGCTTATAACTGTTCTTAGTATCGTAAAAACTTAATTTAAAAGTGATTAAAGATTCGAAAATAATGATTTGATCGCTGATAACTATCGAAATATAGACATTATCACAATAATAATCCTGACAAAAGCGTGTACACAAATGTCTTCAACAGTATATGACTATACCATCAATTGACTTACATTTATTGGCCATTTTGGTGTTAGCTTTGTATAGTCATGTCAATTACTGAATAAAAGGTAATAAAAGATGGTCTAAAATCTTTAATTGACCAAAGCCAGTACAAAAGAATCCAGTAATTAAACATTAAGTAGTACTCGTGTTGCATTTTGCATATGCTTATTCGACTTAACAAAGGTCATTGTATATCATACTATAAATACAGACGTACGAAATGTCATCAGATAGAGTTCAATAGAGTTATTACATGATTTATTCTGTCGTCACAGTTGCACTTGTCATAATACCTAGCTATAGTATTTATTAAATATTTATGATTTTGTTATTTATTAAGGTATAAAACCGTTAATGTATAATAAAATTTTGCATTCACGTGTACTTCTTACCGCATCACTGACAAAGCTGAAAACGTTTAAATCAAGTATAAAGCTCACATATTACTTACGTACTTATAGAAATTTTATGCCTAACCGATAAAATTGGCATTAAAGAATTCAGTTTGCCGTCAGTCAGACCTACTTTAATTTTAATGTGAAAGACTTTGGATCGTTCCATTAGTTCCAATTTTTTTGCAACTCATTCGAATCCAATATTCCATTTTTAAAATGAACGCGAATCGAGATTAAAATTTGATTAAACGAGGAAGGAACCTTAATTTGACAACAAATTTCCATGTGCGGCTAAAGTTAAATGTCACCAGATAAAAAAAAAAAAAAAAAAAAAAAGAGAAAGAGAGAGAAGAATATAAATTATCGCGGCGAAAGCATGACGGTTAAATTCGCAACGAAATCGTGCACACTCTTCATGCATAAATGATTAAACTCCTTCGCTATATTCTCTCTCTTCAATCAGCATATAATTATAGAAACTTCTAGAAGCTTTCATGTGAACTTAAAAGGTACACTGCGAACTTTTTTCCCTCGAAAATTCACAACGCAGTTGAGAATTTCGTTTTCTTTTTTTTTTTTTTCCATTGCACGACCTTTTTTTAATTTTGACATTACACGTGTAAATTTTACCTTCTAGTGCGTGTCTTTGTAATGGTGTAGGGTTTTACACGACAGATATTTTTAACCTCGTCCCTTCGAATTTTTTTTTTTTTTTTCTCCAACTTTCCCGCAACATTCCATTATTTATGCAAACCTTAATTATTCCCCCGAAACTTTTTCGCTACTTTTTTCCCAAGACGTAAGAATCGTTTCCCTCCGCTCCTATGCATATTTTTTCATCTCGTAATTACGATTGTTTCGTTTGTTACTATTCACAACTCGGGCAATTAACTTACCGTTGAAGCTATTTTCGTTGGATGTCGTTTACACTGGCTCGGAAAAGAGTTGAATCTCGATGGACGTAACCGTAGATCTATTTTGACAAATGTAGTAACATTATGTATAAGTTGATGTCTGATGAAGTAACGTAATATTCAGATTGTATATTGAGCGGTCGTCCAAATAAAGAAAATAATAACGTATACGTTGCACAAGCCACACCTATAATATATATACATATATAGAGTACCCGGTACATACGTTGATATCGCGGTGCATCATTCAAATCGAGCATCGAGTTTATGAATAGTATCCGACTCGGGTATACGATTACGAATAGAGCATTCGCCGGGGACGGGTCAATCCGTCAGAAATGAACCTCCCAAACCTGTTAATAATTATACCGGGACCGCGACCTACTTTGCAAGCAAGCAAGCTCGTCCAAACTTCGACGGGGTTTAATAACGAATGATGTTGTATTTATTGATAACGTAACGATGTGTTTGTTTGCAGGTATAGTCAGAGCTCCGGGAGTACAGTCATGGAACCCCTCAAGGATCGATGGGATACATTCCTGCGAGCCCTCATCTTGACATGGCTCTGTCTCAGCAGCTCCGGTGTCATCGCTCGGAATATAGGTGGGTTCATACGTATACGGTCATCAAGTTTAGCGACGCGAGAAGTGCACGTTTTGCTTTTCTTCCTGTATATCAAAAGAGACCGAGATAAATTGTACAGACCCACGTTGGCTGAGCTATAGAAGGCCTATTGTACATTTATTGAAATTTTTACTCGAGTGGACATCGCAGTAGCGCATTATTTGATGATGAATTTCTTCAAAAATGTACACCCGAGTTTATCCGGATTTTGAAGATAGACCTCTGATTTCCTCGTAAAAAAAACTTTCGCTTAGCCGCGTTGGGTAAATTATAAACACCAAGAACTCACCGCCGGCACGTACTTTCCACGCGAGTTTTTACTTTGTTTTGTACGGGCGCGTGGATGTTTTCAAATTGATAAAGGGGGTTTCAAATATCACGGTCACTTTTGCCGCAAATATTATACCTACGCGGCGCACCGTCACACCCGCTCTCTCTCTCTCGCTCCTTCTCATAAACAAAAAATGCGACTCCGTCATCGAGGCGAATAAACGTTTATCCTTTTAATTCCCGGGGATATAAAAGTTACGACTTCTTAATTTAAGAGTTGGAAGAGAAAAATTCGCGCGTATTATGCATGTTGGGGGGGAAAAAAAGCTTGCAGTAATTTTTTATTGGAGACAAGTCCGGTGACCGTTGGAGCAGTGTAATTTTGACGTACGAGTTATTCCGCAAAAGTTTTACCGTTGCTCGTCTCAACCTTTGCGTAACTTTCCCATGACTTTTTGGTTTGTTTGATGAATCAGTCGCTTCTTATCACCTGTTGAAACGTTCCAAGGCAACCACCACAGCGATAACCCCGTTTTAGTATCATGACCAACGCCAGTGAAAATACGAGTAATTTAGATGATAAGGCCAAAGAGAAAGTCCCTTGGTTATGACAATAGACATTACAAGCACTGGATTTACGAAATCGTTTCTACGACATTGCGCCGAAAAAAGTCGTAATATTGTCCATCAGGTGTATCATCGCTATACATATACCTAGAAGCTCCGAGGCTGAAGATATATATCATGTCATTCCTAGAGCCGCTCCAACATCCCTTCGGTACGAAAAGGTCTTCGCAAGTCAATAGTTAGCTCGGGATAATGACGCATGATCCGATTTGAATCCAACGCTCGAATTAGTTTTTTGCTCGCAGCCACCACACGTGCACACACACACACACACACATACATAAGATAAGAGAGAGGAGGGCTGAGCCGAGCGCGCGAGAGCAGCCATAGCGGCGACGGTGGCCTCCCACCTCGACGTAATGCCTCTCTCGCTCGTTTTTTTTTTTTTTTTTTTTTTTTTTTTTTTTTTTTTTTTTTTTTTTTTTTTTTTTTT